CCCCCCCCGCCCCGCAACCTCCGCCAGCAGCCCTCCCTCCGCCCCCGCCCCCCTCACCTGTGTGTGACCTCATGTGCCGGGTCAGGTCCTGCAAGGACCAGAACCTCTTGCTGCACACACTGCACACCTTCTTCCTCTTGTCCGCCTTGCTGGCCACACTCCTGGGGGAGTCTGTCTTTGGCTTCTTGTCGTCCTCACTCTTCTCCGAGGGCTTCTTCTCGGCCAGGCCCTCCCCATCCCCATCTGAGGGGCCCTCGGCCTCCTCGCTCTGCTTCTCCGCGGGGGCTTCAGTCACGGCCTCCGCCTGGGCGGGGGGCTCGGTGGCGGGGGGCTCGGTGGCCGGGGGCTCGGCGGGCCTCTGTGGCAGCTCGAGGGCAGTGGGTGGTGGCGCTTCGGGCTCCTGGGGGGCCGCGCTCCTGTCCCCGGGCTCCTCACGGCCGTGGGCCTTGCGGTGGCGGTTGAGGGTCCCGAGGAACTTGAAGCTTTTGCCGCAGACGTGGCAGGCATGGCGGGCGTGCCTGTGGTCCTGCGCAGCCGGGTCCCCGCCGCCGCCCGCGCCGGCCTCGCCCTCGGCCAGCTTGAAGCCCATCAGCTTGCTGGCGAGGTTGAGGTCTAGGCTCTTGTTGCTGACCGTGTCCTCCGCGGGGCTGTCTGCGTCCTCATCCCACTCCCCCTCCGCGCGCTCCTCCTCGGGCTCCGCGTCCTCCTCGGCGCCCCTCTCCTCTCCAGCCAAGGGCGTGGCTGCTGCCGGCTCCGCCTCCTCCTCCTCCTCCGCCGCCGCCGCCGCCGCCGCCGCCGACTCGTCCGGGATCGGGCTGGGCTCGGCTGCTCCTTCCGGTGTCGGTGGCTCCCTCTCCCGGGAGGTGAGGTCCAGCACTTCGCCGCCCGCCGATGCCTCAGCGTCTGACTGGCTGTCTGCAGAGCAAGTACGGGGCAGGCTGAGACCCGGGCCACCAGACACGCCCCTTCCGAGGGCTCGCTCGTGACCCACCCCCCGGGGGCCTGTCTCCTAACCCCCGCCAGGACTTCTCTCACCCAAATCCCCCTCACCCCTTATGTCCCTCAAGGGCCAAGACGAATCTGGGGTTAATTTTTAAAAGGCAGAAGGAGCAGCCGCACACGGGCGCATATAGGCTGGGTTCACAGGGTAGCTGCGCCTGCAGCTCCCGGCCTCCCTTCCCCGCCCCACCCCATGCCGAGCCAGCCCCCTCCATGGGCACACACAGGGATGCTCGGGGCCCCCAGGGGCAGCCAGACAGAGCGACGGCGAAAGAGGACAGCTGGCACATTCCAGAGATTCGCAGCACAAGGGAGGTTGAGGAAGCTGAGCCGTAGAAGTTATTTTCCAGTGCAAAGAGGTTGTGTACACATGCAGCCTACACAGGCCTGCCCCCCAAACACGGTATCTGGGAGCACCTCACAGGAAGTGGCCCAAAGCGAGTATTCTGTGTATTTGGCACATGCTCCTGCCTGACGGCGGGTTTCCAGTAGAGGTCCCAGGCAACAGGAGACATGCACATCTGTATGCACACCTGCAGGCCCCCCTGGCAGCTGTCAGGACCCCATGTAGGGAGCGGAAACACTTCCTGTCTCTCAAGTGGTTCCCACCTGTCCAGTCTCCACAGCAAAACCAGATGTGGACAGGCCACCAGTTTCTATCAGCCTTCTTAAGGGCTGGCCTGGTGGTAACAGTATCGACACCAAAGAGATGACGGTATTTATCAAAAGCACCATCTCCTCTCTATTCTGGTTGAACAAAGTCTTAGCCAGTGTTTTATTATGTGCTCTGATACTGTAGCTAAAGCTTGCTGAGCCCGACTATTAACTACAGATGCAACGACCAATGGACTACTGTGGCATCAGGCTGATAAAATTCGTTATTTCATGGCACATATGTGACATGCACCTCCCTCACATGCCACGTCTCCGATAAGTTCACACATCTAACCTGAAGTCTCACCTGATGAGAGCAGACCACCGCCACACCGACCCAGGCCCGTGGCTCTGAGTCACAGGCTCCACGACTCGCCCCCTGGGCTGGGGGCGAAGGAGCTGCACCAGCCCTGCCACGGTCACACTGCCTGGGGCTCTCGGCTCACCTACAGCAGTCTACGTGGCTCTCCCACTTTACTTCTCTTCACTGGTTTTATTCTGACTACTTTTTGGCAACCACTGTTTGAGTATCTTAAAAGGTTTCAGAAGGAAACAAGTAATTGTGGGGTGAATATAAAATTTCTGAAAGAAATTTTGACAATTTAAATGATTTCTGACAATTTTCCAAAAGATGAAAGAAGATGACCCCTGAGACATGCACACCAAACATCGAGGCCATATTCCAGGGGAAAAACCAGCTGCTCATTTCCTTGAATCACGTAAATGGAGAGCCCCTATTAAATGGCTTTTGGTATAAACTCCACAAAAAAAAAACAAAAACAAAAACACAGAATGCTTGGTTTCCTATTTGTTGGTTCCGTGGGTAGTTACATTAAAGACAAAAAAAAGACAAAAAACCAAAAAAAAAACGGCGAGGGGAGGGTTGATCTCTGGTTACTCCCTATTTGTCCCAGTATACTCTAGGCTGTTTCACTTAATTATTAATTTTTTTCCACCAAAGAGCATGGATTATTTAAAATTTCAACTGTAGCAGGATATATTTAAGATGATAAACTTTGGGGGGAAAATTCACAGTGAAATCTGAAATCAAACCCAGGTAAAAATACTACGATAATACACTAAGATCAGATCGTTCTGACTCCTGGGTCCTCCCTAAGTGTGGATAATGGAGAGCTCACCCTAAAGGCAATGGGAGGCCAACTCGCTTCCTCCGAGGAGTGGAGAGGGCTTGGTGCGTTCTACCCAACGTCCACTAGGGGCCGTGTTTTAGCAGGGCAGCCGGTGCCCTTCAAGTTCCCAGCAGCACCAAGGGCTCTTAGCAATTCTTGGGAACAACGCACTTAGCCCCCCTGTCTCGTGAACACCCGCCTTACAGCGCCAGGTCCTATCTTGACCCCGTCCTCCGCAGCAGCTCACCCTTCCGAGTACAGGTGGCGGAGCTGATGACTTTTGTAAGCAATGCGGCTTTAAAAATGTGTTGATTTGGGGACTTCCCTGGCGGTCCAGTGGTTAGGACTCTGCGCTTCCACTGCAGGGGGCCTGGGTTCGATCCCTGGTCGGGGAACTAAGATCCCGCAAGCTGTGAGGTGCAGCCAAAAAAAGAAAAAGAAAGAAAAAGGAGAGGGGAGAGCGGGGGAAGAAAACTGTGTTGATTTTCTGTCCCTGTCAGCCAGTCCCTCATTCGTGATGCGAATCTAAGAAAACTGCTAGAGGAAGCAGACAGAATCTGAAGGCACTAGTAGATAAGAAGCCCAAAGCTCCTCCAGTGTGGAGACTTCCACGTTAGCGCAACAATTAAGTATCTACTGCTTCCTAGAAATTTCGCGTCACCCAACTGAGGTGACAATGTACCGACCTCAACGCCTACCTGGCTGGGCAGGGGCACAGCCTCCACTTTATCTAGACCAGCACTCCCCGTGGTGCAGTCCATGCCCGGACGTGGCCTTCTGGGCCGACAAGGGGGCCACCACTGAGGGACAGTCTTCAAGTGTCCACGCTGGGGAATTAATTCCCTGGCGGTCTAGTGGTTGGGACTCGGTGCTTTGACTGCTGTGGGCCCGGGTTCAATCCCTGGTTGGGGAAGTAAGATCCAAAAGCCGTGGGCGGTCTAGTGGTTGGGACTCGGTGCTTTGACTGCTGTGGGCCCGGGTTCAATCCCTGGTTGGGGAAGTAAGATCCCAAAAGCCATGCGGTGAGGCCAAAAAAAAAAAAAAAAAAAGTCCATGTTTACACTGATTTGAAAAGTCACATGCAGGTGCCCACAAATAGGAAGGCTCCTACAGACATCATCTGAGGAAGAACCAGGAGCATCCCCTGAGGACAAAGTGGGCCAGGGTACCTCTGCCCACAAGAAAGTGAATCAAAGTTTCAGCCTAGCTTCGAACTATCAATATGTCCCTTTCAGCTAAAACTGCCCCCATTGGAGCATCTTCAGCATGCCTTTGGGGGAAAATCTAGGGCGCATTTTTGTGAGACCTTATGTGATCGAAAAAGTCAGACCTACGTTGCAAAACACGTCCTGGAATTTTAAGAAAATGCATCCTAGGCATATAAGCCTAGAAATCCCTCAAGAACTGCCTTGGTCATTTCCTGCCTTTGTGTTTTTACGGTCTTTCTCCAAAGCCTCACTTTTAACTTCATGGGAGGGAGCCAGAAAGGAAACCTTCACTCCCTCCATCATGCTCACCTGGTTTAAAAAACTTCCCCTTGAAATCACTGAAATCCACCTCCCTGACCCTCCTTCTCCCCATCTTACCTCTCAGCCCTCTTTCTCACCACGGATTGTGACCACAATTAAACCAAACCTATATTCTTCTCTTTGCTGGTTTCACGTTACAACTCTCACTGAACTTTCTTTTTCCAGAGGCTTTGTCCCTTAAAGGAAACCTACACAACCTCTGGGCAGGGTCAGGGCAAGGAGGGCGCTGATGGGACTTGGAAAAACAAAACTCATAACTGCAATTTAAAAAATAAATTCACCCACCATGAAGATGTGGGCTGCACTGAAGCTAAGATATAAGTTCCGATTGGCTTTGCGCCTGCAGAAGCCCTGGTTTTGGTGTTCCTTGATCATACAGATCAAGATGCTGAACCCAAAGTATTGCATCCAGCACGTGGCTGTTACACTTTAAGACTTGTCTGCCAGCATGGGAGACCAAGGGCTCCCCGCGGCCACCTCAACTATCAGCTGCTTTCCCTCCTTTGGGACCGTGATGGGCTGTGAGAAAATGGGCTGGGTAGAACGTGATGTGGCAGCTGACACTCAAACACTGAGAGGGGTCATCCCAGTGAAGGTGTGCTCTGCCAGTCTCGCTGCCAGTTTCCTGGGGTTGAACAGCAGATCACCCAGCAACCTCGGGCTCGAGGGCACCCAAGTCACGGCAAGATTCCGCGGGACCTGTACGTTTCTCTACTCAAAGATCCTGGCGAGTCACATGGACCTGGACGCTGGAGGGGGTGTGGCAAACTGGCCTACACTTTTACACCCTGAGAGGGTCTGGGTACACCACAACCGAGGGCCCGGCCGTTCAAGGGCTTCTTTCACTGGGCTCTGTGGGAGGTGTGGGGAAACAGCAGAGGGCTCTGCACCAGCTCCTCTTCCTGGAGAGGCTGCCCGCTCACTGCACCCCTCTCCCCCGTAACTGGGACAAGGACAAGGGGGCCAGGGCTGGGGTTGAAGCCCAACCCTCCAGTCCACGCTCACTCACAGACAACACAGCCCCCAACCCACCCAAGTCTGAGGGGGAGAAGCCCGGACACAGTCACAACCCTAGAAAAGCACATTTGGGGGGAATCTCCTCGGATTCAGAAAAGGGGGAAATGTCAAGCTTTCCAGATTTGCCAGACTGAACCCGTACCTGCAAGAGTTTATTCGGCACTGGCCAACCAGCCCTGTGTCTGAGTAACCTTCAGCAGCCGATTTTCTGTTTTATTTGTTTTGGGGGGTGAGGGACACAAAACCCCAGCAGTTGGAGATAATGGAATATATTGAATAGAGGACACAAGTAAATACAGAAGCTGTAAGGGAAAAAAAGGTGGCAGGAGACGCACGGGGCAGCTGTTAATTGCTCTACAGGGGCCGGAGGAAGGAAGCACATATCAGCACATGAGAAGAATACCCGGATCCGGGTCAAGCAGAGACGTGATTAAAGAAAGGACATGCAGAGCGCTTTTTCAAACCAGACAAAGTTTTTTTTACTGGGAAAAGAGTTATTTAAAAGAAAAACACCCCACCCAGCCCGGCCCCTCCCTGCTGAGGGTGGAGCGTCACTAGTTCCTGCAACACCCTGGCAGCGAGCGGGCCCATCCCTGGCTCTGCAGGATGCGGCAGACGCTGGGATTTGAGAAAACAACACCCGAGTAGTTTCACCTCCCTTTCAGACGTGTTCCTATGCAGAGCTGGACTGTGCACCCTCCTGCACAGCCCAGCTCCACAGGGCAAAGGGCAGGAACAGGCATCTGGGGTGGTGGGGTGGGGAACAGATCTTCTCTAGCAGCTCAGAGAAGCAGCCTGGGGGCGCTACCGTGGCCCCCATACCCGTCCTGCTGCTGGGATGCCAGCAGGAGGCCTCAGGGTCCTGCAGAGAAGGGGAGGCCGCCAGCCACAGCGCGGAGGCCGGAGCGCGGCTAACAGGCTCCTGCGGCGCCCTCCTCTCCATCACTTGGAGGCACTACCTGTGCTATCATGGGCTCCAACATCACTCTCTTTTGACTGGGGGATAAGCCCGTTTCTTCTCAGGGAACAGGCGGTAACTCCGTGTTTGCGCAACTGGTGGCGTTCACAGTTAGATTTGGTGGAAAAGAAGGCACCGCATTTTTGACAAGGGAAGGGTTTCTGACCTGAAGCGGGAAAAAAAATACATGTTTATCTGGCTTTCTACTGCAACGAAAAAGAAAAATCGCTTTCCATTCATTCTCCTGGGATCATTGGCATTTGTCCACCCCCCCACCGAACCCCTTTCTTTTAAGAAAATAAACAAAATACATTAAAAAACAAAACAAAACACTGAGAACAGCAGCAACTCAAATGATCACCTTCCCTTATCCTGAGTGGGATGAAAGATTTGTCTTCAAAATACTAAAAGTTAACAATGAAACCAAGATACATATCTGAAGTAAAACAGTATTACAATTACAAATCTTACATAATAACTACAACAACAAAGGTGAGTGAAGGGATCTGAGCACAGCAGGAGAACACCTATGTCCATCACAGAGAGAAGACGCCTGTGATAGTTTCCAGCCTGGCAAGGGGAATCGAATGGGATGAAGGGCAATGCCCGGGGCCTCCCGGAGGAATCCTGAACTCTCTGGATGTCTCTGGGGTCCAGCCCTCCCACTGGACTGCAAGTGCTGAGTTCTGACTTCCCGGGATGCCTCCTGTCTGACCTCTGCCCAAGGTCACTCTGGTCCTAGCTGGCAAGACAGGGGAGGTCGGCTTGGTGCACGAGGGTTCTCTGTCCCCCTTGCTCTAAGCTCTTGCTGGTGGTGCATCAGTGACCAAGGTCCTGAGTCTGATCAGAGCCGCGTGCTCCACTCAGCAGCCCGAGTGTGAAGCTGAGTCACTGAGCGGCCCCTAACCCCACCAGCCCCACAAGTAGGCCAGCTGCCTGTCCCTCCCCGGCCACTACCTGCTTCAACTGGCCTACTCTTCTTCCCTTCTTCCATTTCGATTCCTTTTGCAGGCTCCTCAGCACCCGGTCCCGTGTCTACACGGACGGACGAGGGGGCGAAGCCAGGGCAGACCACGAGGACAAAGAGAAGGAAAGAGGAGGGACCAGGGAAGGGAGTGGGCAGGCACCAGGACAGAGGAGGTGTGGTTATCAGCTACTGCATCACTGGATTCTTCTGTTCCCCCCGCCCCCCCCCCCCCCCCCCCCCCCCCCCACCCCCTCCCCCCCTCCAGCCAGTGCAGGGGCGGGGGGAGTGGTGGATCAGGGTGGCCGCCTCCCCCCCCCCCCCCCCCCCCCCGAGTGCCACATTCTAAGGTCCTGGTTTCTGATTTTACAGGGAAAAGGTTTCGTGCACCAACAAACAGGACTCATAGAGCTGCAGCCAGCACGGCTGTCTCATGACCCCAGGGCTGCCACGATCACACGCACATCAAGACATGACAGGCAAGTCAATCAGCGCGGTTCCCTGGAAACACTAAGAGGGGGTGGGGCTGGGCTTCAGCCTTCCATTCAGGTCTAGACGAGCGTTAACGGACCCCAGAACCAGCGCAGGCGCGCAAGTCCAGGCACCCAGGGAATGAACAGCGTGGGCCTGGAGCCCCGAGTTCTCAGGACAGGAAGGACTGGCACTGCCAGCCGCACAACTCTGGGGCGCCATTCGCACGGAGCACACCGCCTGTGACCCCGAATGCCCACACTCCAAGTATGAGCATCAGCAGTAACCAAAGAAAGGGGACGTCCACCTCCACCTGAGCCATGGTTCCAAGTCACTGGTAGGGGTTTTTACGAACACAGATGCCTAGAACCATCAAACACCACGGAATCAGAAGCCTGGGGAGGTGGAATCAGACACTCAGAAACCGGGCCCGTGCACCTCTAAGGAGCTCCACTTGGGCCCAAGAGGATGAAATGGAGAACCCGACTGCTTCACAAAGCTTGTAGGTGTTTTGCGCTAAATTTATAAAAATGCTCACATTAAAAAAAAAAAAAAAAAAATCACGCTTTTTGCTTGAAGACTAGTTGTAAATTATTTTAATGCTTTTTTTGTGCACCCTTCTCGCTTTTCACTAAAAGTTGAACATGATGTTTAATAATTATGCAGGCTGTGTTATGTAAGAAGAAAATACTTTTCCTTTAACATTTTATTGTCAAAAGGCAACATCACTGCTTCCCTGAGTCAGGCCAGTTTGAAAAACAAGAGAACCAGGCTCGAGAAGAAAACAAGTCAGAAGCTGTGACTATGAACTGTGATCTGGTTCTTGATTTCAAATAAAGCAGTTAGTTTCTTGCTTCTTCCTCTTACATGATTTGCTCTGTAATTTTCACACTGGTAAATGCGTCACTTGTACAGCTGGTTTGAACAGCCAGGCTGATGTCCCATGATGATGAGGAGTCATGTTAAGGTTAAATGTAGAAAATGATTCAATGACCTGAAAGTACTGTATCCAGTTAGGAAGATTCCCGAAGTGACAACTAACAGCGGTCTTTAGAAGTTCCCATTTCACTGCATAAGTCGCACATTTTACATAGCAGTGTGCTCTCCAGACTGCATGGACAGAGGAAACCAAGAGCGCTTTGACTATTTTATGATCATACAGGTTTCAGAAAAACCTTGCTGACTCGTAATCTATGTGGAAAGTATCCAATGATTTTATTCATTTGGTAGCAGCCACAGAAGACTGTTCCAGCAGCGGTGTTTCTAAACGCACCTGTAAGCACAAGGAGCCACCTCTGCACCCAAAGGCCCATGACGTCCTTCCACCCCACCCCGCGATTCAGCCAGCAGTTTTCACTCTCACAGAACAGTCAAGAAACGAAGAAAGAAATTCTTCAGGAGACGACGCTGTCTGGCAGGCGCTGGGCGGGAAGGAATAAAGGATGAACAACCAGAGCAAGTCCAATGGCCCGGCCTCACACCCTCAGAGGCTTCTCCGTACCCTCCCCCCCCCCCCGCCCGCCCCCACCCGGGGCACAGGCCTCTCTCCGTCTGTCTGTCTTTCTTTCAGGATTTGGCAGATGCAGGGCCGGCCAGGTAAACGCTTTCAGAGCTGCCCCTTAAGAAAGTTGGAAGCAGCCAAACATGGCTGGTGTCAGTGCTTCCACACTGAGGTGTGTACATCTCACTGGTCTCAGCTCCGCCGCTGGCTGCCTGTGAACAGCGGGTGGGAGAGGTGGGTGGGGAGGGCCCCAGGCTGGCAGAAGAGGGCAGTGAAGCCCTCAACCATGAGAGAGTGAGCAAGGCAGGGGGCCAGGGATGTCAAAGCGGGAGGGCATCTCAGCACCACAGGTGCCGACCCCTCCATTCCACGCGGAGGAAGGTGAGGAAGGGGCTGAAATGGACCGTTTCCTGGCACTCTCTCCTCTACTTGTGGCCTCAAAACACACGGGACGCTCACGAGGGGGAAAGGCAGGAAGAGTGAGCCATCTTCTCCTAAAGAGGCAGCACTGTTCAGGCTGAGAAGGGAAGGAGCCAGGATGGTTCCTCAACAGGATGCCACGGGCTAGTGGAGGAGGGGAAGGAGGAAACGCAGCTGTGTGTGGAGATCACGCCAGGATCTCACGAAGTGCACCAGCAGACGCCAGCTTCCTCCTAAGACACAATTCCCAGAACCTGAGCCACGCAGAGAAAGGGCTGAAACCACGTGCCCCTTGCCTGAGCAACAGTGAACCCCCGGCTGGACACTTAACACCCGGGCTACTTAATGCTGCCCATTTAGGGGGTGGGCTGCACTGGAAACATGTCTGTGAGACGATGTATAGATGCTAGAATTCTTTGCATTCGCTAAGAGGTTGGGAAAAGGCCAACTCTCAAGATGCACAGTTTGCTTCAATCCAGTTTAAAACTGGACACCACTCAAAAGCTTCTGGCTGGAATGCAGCTAGAGTTTAACACTACCACCCCGGCCCCCCAAGCCTCTTCCCTGTGTAACGAGGTTTTACAGGGTCATTTCTGAGTCCACGTTTAGTTTCTGTTACATGTGAGCCTCAATCTAATTTCAGCATTACGGAGGGAGCACCTCATAGGAAGCCACGAGCTGGGCACTTGGAGATCCCACAGCAGAGCCGTCTACCAGGAAAACCTCAGTGTGCAGGAAGGGTGGGCAGGTCACATGATTTCTCAGGCTCCGTCCAGCTCCAGCACTGTACCAGACATAGCCGAGGGCTGTATAAAATTACTAAATGGAGCTAATGCTGAGTTTGTTGCTGGAAGCTGAGGCTGTGAAAGAGCAAAGGAAGTTAACTGAGCCCCATCGGCGCCAGCGTTCGTCCAGGTCTAAGCGTGTGGTTAGCACCATCCCACGGTCACAAAGTCTCTGGTCAACAGCTCATGGTCCACAGCCGTGTTCCACCTTGTCTCAAACCACTTCCCAATCTTCTGCGTTGGCACGTGTCAGGATACAGGGGGGCAGAAGAGGCACGCCCCCTGCATCCTCAGACGGAACCTGACCCTGGCTCCCACACCCAGCACTGCTGCGCGTCCCCCGAATGCCTGCAGGCAAATTACTCAAGCCTCCCTAAATCTCAATTGTGTCATGGCAAGATGGGGACGACATGGCCCTCGTGGCCCGGTCACCAATACTAGCCCTGGAAGGGTTCTCTACCCGCCCGAATGCGCCCCTCAAGGGAAAAAGCCCGCGACCCCACGGCAAGAACACAGGATGTGAGGGACAGGGTGGAAGCACATGTGGCCGTCAGGGGACAGTGACTGTCGGGGGAGAAGCGGCAGAACATGTTCACACCTACACCTGCCCCCGCCCCCCGTCTCAGACTAACTCCGATGTCCTCTGCTCCGTTCCGACGCCACCAAATTTTAAACCAACGAGGACGCTTCAGCGTTCAAAAGGAGCTTCTACTGGGCACCTGCAAAGACACGGCACGACCCTTGAGAGCAAGTACGGACTGCTCAGTCCTCTCAGGGAGGCCGCTGGCGTGCAGGGAAGAGGACAGTGGCACCCGCCCAGCACAGGGCTCCCGGCTGGAGCAGAGGTGGGGAGGCGGTGCTGGCAGGGGAGCTCTCCTCATCACGCCCAGACTGCCTGCTTGCTCAAAAGCGGCAATGGGAATACTCACTTCTCCAGAGACTCTGCAGGAGACAGACAGCTGCCACCCAAAAAGGGCGGCAAGAGAGACTGCTGTGCGGGGTACCTTCTCTAAGCATCTTCTTTCTGAACTGCTTTCTTCCTTAGAGCTGTTCCCTTACTTTGTCAGGCTTAAATGATTTCAAACGGAGAGAAAATGACAGCCTGAAAATGCAGCACAGACTCTACAAATCTAGGAATTCTGGTTCCTGTTATTTGAGTCCTCTGTGGACAGACACTCCTAACTGATGCCTGGGTTTGAGGACCCACCACGCCGGAAAGAGACGCCGTGCCCACGTGGCAGCCAGCCTCAGACAGACCCTGCAGCGCACCCTCCCCTCACCTGCCCTGCCCGTCTCCTCTGCACTCTCATTGCCCAGGACAGCTCTGCCATCCCCTCCCGATGTCCCAACTTGTTAGGAGAAACAGCCTTCCACGGAGGATCCACCCTGCGTGAAGCCTTTCCACCTGGATACAGAGCAAGGCTCCCACCCAGCCCCCGCCATCTTCCCCTCTCCACACCATCATGAGCCTCTGCACTACCTGGGGTTGCCAGATTTAGCAACTCAAAATACAAGACTCCTAGTTAAATCTGAATATCAGATACACAACAAATAAGTTTTTAGTATATCCCAAATAGTGCACAGAAGATATTTATACTAAAAATTATTTGTTGCTTATTTGAAATTCAAAATTTAACTGGCATCCTGTATTTTATCGGGCAATCCTGTACCATACAATTCTTTATTCTGTTTTAGGTCCTATCAATTAATATTTGGGTGGTGATCTCCAAAAGGCTAAGGATCTCACCCAATCTGTCCTTAGTTCAAAGATGTAAATTTTGAATACTCAGCTTGAATATTCAGTAACTCATAATTAAGATGACCTTAAGATGACCCTAAGTTGTAGGGTCATCTGACTACTAACTCCCTGGTATAAAATTATTTAAAGTGTATTTCTTATCTCAAACTTCTCTTTAAAAATCAATGCACGACAACATTTGAAAAATACTTTGGGGATATCTTTTTGGCAACTTAAGTCTGTTACTTAGAATAATATTTATATTTGCGTGTTTCTCTCTGCAACAGCCAACAACTTTAGTATAGATAAAATTTTTTTTTTAATTCTAAAGCTACTCTGTCACTGACACTCACGATGAACATGGGAAGAGGTAATCGCCTTAGTGAACTGAAAGGTAGCTGCAAAATTTGCAATATCTCCCTTTATGAATACACAGTAGTCAAAAGAACTTCACAGAAGGTCTGCCATTTTAAAAGCTGCCTTGAATGCAAATTCTTCTGCCAAAGTCCCTGTTCCCCTAGCTGCCTCCTGTGCATAACCAAGCAGATAATGCCTCGACCACGTGAGGGATGCGATGGCCCAAGACCATCTCACCTAAAAACACCCTGCCTGACCCTTCCCTTCACGAGCAGCCCTTGGAGGCCCAGCCAACGGAAACAGGCCATTCTGGTTACACGAGCACACAGGGAAAAACTCTCGGCCCCATCAGGCAAGCCCCTGCTTCTGAGACTGAGGAAGAAGAGAAGCTAGGAATGGGGAGGTGGGAAGAGGGCCCCTCCTTCGACCCCACCCGTCGCTGCCCCTCAGCCCGGCGGCTGGGCCACAGCCTGCCCGGTCCTCTTACCAGTGTGCGTGAGCATGTGCCTCTGCAGGGAGCTGGCCCAGGGGAAGACCCGGGGGCAGTGGGGGCAGCTGATCCTCTGCAGGCAGCTGGCATAGGAGCTGCGCTTCGCTCTCAGCAGCCTGTCCTCCGGGGGGCTGCCCTGCTCGTCATCGCTGGGCCCGCTGTGGTCTGCGGCCACCTCGTCCTGAGCGTCGTCCTCCGCGCTCTGCAGGAACGGACTGAACTTGTTGGTGTCCGTCGTAGCCAGCATCTTCTCGATGCTGGCGAACTCCCCGCTGGAGTCCAGGTCCACCCCGCCACTGGTGCGCAGCCGGCTCCTCGCCCCCTTTTTCCGGCCCCTCTTCTTTGACAAGCCAGCTGGTCCCTGCTCAGTGGGCGAGGCTGTCTCTGGGCTGGTGGCAGCAGGGGGGGAGTCACTGGATCCTTTCCTGCTGGTGACATCGGTGGTGGCTTTGGAGACGGCGCCCCCTACAACATCTGCAGCTGCAGCGTTACCGCCAGCGCTCGCGGGCCCCGGGTCAGCCACCTTGGTTTTCAGCAAGGTGGGGGCCGAGGACACGGATGAGATGATCTGGGCAATGGAGGCCAGCGGGGGCAGCTCCTCTGTCACGGGGGGCTTTGGCAAAAGCAGGGGGGGCTTGGGGCGCAACGGCCGCAGCAAGGCTGGGCTGCTTATGAGGGTGGAGTTGCCCAAAAGCGGGGAGCTGTTGACCAGGGCTGAGGAGTAGATGGGCACAGCGAGTTGAACGGAGCCCTGCAGGGGCGGAGCCGGGGCTTCCGGAGTGCTGGCGGCAGAGGCCGCCGCTACAGGGGCCACGGGCTTTTCCAGGACCCCGCTGGGGCCCAAGGTCACCGGCAGGGTGGGGCAGGCTGGTGGACAGGGAGAGGCCTGCTCATTGCTCGCGGGCTCCTGCTCAGGCTTCTTGGCTTCCTCGGGAGTGGCCGCGTCCTCGTCTCCTCTCCTGAAGTTCTTGGGGATGGACAGATCGATGGGCTCCATGGAGCAGTCGTACGGGGCCGAGGCGGAAGGGCTCAGGAAGGAGGCCGAGTTCTCCTGCTTCACTTGGACCAGGGCCAGGCCCTTCTGGGAGAAGTCCAGGGGCTCGTTGAAGTCCCCTGCGAAGTTGCTGGCAGGCTCCACTTTGACCGCGACGTGGGGGGGCAGCGGCTGGGCGGGGGCCCCGTGACGAAAGCCGTTCTGGGGCTCCAGGAAGGCGGCCAGGGGCTTGCGCTCACCCAGGGCGGCACCGCCCTCCTCCACCCTGCCCGGGGCCTCGGTGGGCGCGTTGGCGGGGCCCAGGCCGTCGGCCGCCAGAACGTAGCTCTCGATGTCACGCTCGGGCACGTGCAGGTGCTGTTTGGGGACGTGGTGGATGCAGTTGCGCTTGGCCGAGAAGGCGGCGCTGCACTCCTTGCACTCGAAGGGCTTGCGGGCCTTGGGGCAGCCGCCCAGGCCGCGGCCGCAGTGCGCGCGCATGTGGATGCGGAGGGCGCGGTAGTGCTTGAGGTCCTCGCCGCACAGCCGGCACACCGTGTCTGGGGAGCAGAAGGCGTCCACCATCTCGGCCGCGCTGCTGGTCACGTACTCGATGTTCTTCTCGATGTCCTTGCGTGTGGCCTTGAGGTGCTTCTTGCGTAGGTGCCGCTCGCAGTTGGCCTTGACCGTGAAGGGGTAATGGCAGATCTTGCAGATGTAGGGCCGCTCGCCGCTATGTGTGCGCAGGTGGCGGATGAGCGCGGCCTTGTCGGCGGCGATGTAGTCGCAGATGTTGCACTGATAGGGCGAGATGCCCAGGTGGGAGCGCACGTGCGCGCGCAGCACCCCCGAGAAGGCGAACACCTGGTTGCAGAAGCGGCAGGGGTAGAGCACCTTGCGCATGGCCGGCGTCTTCTTGCCACTGGGGGCCGTCATGATGGCCTTGAGGTCCCCCTCCGTGATCTCCTGCTTGATCTTGGCCTCCATGCTCAGCGGTAGGAGGGCCTCGATGATGCTGTCCTGCTCCAGCTGCGTCTTCATCTCGGCCTGGCCCGGCAGCTCGAGGCGTGGCTGCTGCAGGAAGAGCTGTGCGGCTGTGTTTGGCTGCACCCCCGACTGGGACTGCAGCAGGTGGGCGTCGGAGGCCGCCTCCACGGAGCCCCTGAGAAGCTTCAGCGGCGGCGGGGGCAGGCTGGGGCTGATGCAGCCCGGGGAGGCCTGCTGCGCATTGACGAGGGGTGGAGGCGTGGAGGTGGCCACCACCGTCCGCGGTGTGACCAGGGGCTTTGGCTTCAAAGGGGGCATGTGTTTGAAAATGGCCTGTAGAGGGGCAGCGGGGGCCTTGGACAGAGGCGGAAGACTGATCTGAGGGGGGGCCGAGGCTGCCATCTTCAGGATCTGCTGGATGTCTGCCAGCTCGATGGCTGACTCCCCAGAGATGGGCTTGACCACAATACTGCTGTCAGGCTGGATGATGAAGCCCTTCTGGAAGGGCTGCAGGGACAGATGCTTCATGCTCTCCTTGGTGGCCGGGAGGACGGTAAGAGACCCGCCCAGGGAAGCAGCTTCGAAAGGAGACAGACTCAGCAAGTTGGTGCAGCCAGGGTCCTGAGGTAGCTGACACTTGAGTGCCTGGAGCTGTATTGCTTGGTTGTCATCCGGCAGCGGCTCCTCGGCCAGTGCAGGCCTGGCGTCTTCGATGTGCTGCAGGCCCAGCATGGCCAGGAAGACCTTCTGGTCGGGGGCGTCGCCAGGCAGGGCCCTGGCCTGCAGCTGTTCCCGTCCCTGGTCGGCAGTTACATGGGTCTGCTTGTGCAGGGTGAGCGAGGAGAGCATGGGGAAGGCCTTGTCACACGTGTCACAGACGAAGTGGTGCTGCTCACTGATGCACCTGCGCAGGTTCGTTTCACACCAGGCCTGCACGGAAGCCGGGCGGGCGAAAGCAGGGGAACAGAAAGGAGCATTTAGAAATGATCGCCAAGCTGCACAGCTGCCCCGGCATCCGGCCCTTCTCCACGGCACGTAGGGCGCCCACCTTCCCCTGCTCCCTAACTCCCGGACTGAGTAAGGAAACCGACTAAGCATCTTACGAATCCTGTCTGCTTGATGAATGACGCCAATCCCCAGGATGTCTCAGCAGATCAGCACTGAAGTACGGGTAAGTAATAACACCACAGAGGTAGGATTAATTCTCTCTTTAAAAACGGGGGCCTTGCAAGCCTAACTGATGGCAACTACCACCATCAGTGAAGAACTGGCTTCCTCTGTGACTGCGGGGGAGGAGGCTGCCTGGGAAGGGGCACCATGGGGGAGGGGGCTACATGAGCGTACACATGTGGGTACGTACACACATGGACATATGCATGTGCACACGTGGACATATGCACATGGTCATGTACACGTGGAATAAGTCACTGAGTCTGGGGCTTCTGTGATGGAAGAATTTCACTGTTGATATCTTCTACCTCAATTTTTTTTAAATTGGAAAAAAAATGGGTTCCAAAGTAGTTTTAGCAGGTGTTTTATAAGCAGAGCACAAATACAGCTCAGGCTAACACTGACCCAAAATATTTGAATACAAGCTACAACACTAGAAATATTTAGCTGTGGTATCGATATTAAAGAAATATTTTAAAAATACAAATTCAATTCACCTAGGGCTGTGTGGGGTAGTGAACAATTCACAACTTTAAACCCAAATGCCCCCAAATGGGCAAAGTACCGATGAGCTACACTCATACGCCAGTTAACATGAAATTCAGCACACAAAATAAAAGGCCGCCAACCCTCGTCAACTCAACAACTCAATGAAATGGGAAGGGCCAAGCTGAATTTCAAGAGAAAGGTACTATTAAACAGAAAAAAACCAAATGACAGCATTATAAGGAAAGGAAGCCTCAGGTGAGGAAATTCAGTCCAGCTGTGTGGACCATGGAGGTGGCTGCCAGTCATGGGCCACTCGGAATACCTGAGAAATGCGAGGAAACTTCCTACAGGAGAAGTCGGTGAAGCCTAAATCGTGGAAGCCGGCAGGGATGGAGGGGTTGTTCTGGATGAAGGGCCTTCCCACTGCGTCCCTGGGAAGCTGCTTGTGGACCAGTGCGTTGTGGCGCAGCAGTCCTCGGTGTGTGCGGAAGGTGACGCAGCAAATGTCACATCTGCGGGAAGACACAGGACGTAAGGAGGCGGCCATGCCGGGGCGTCCACCTGTCCGTTAGCCGTATTGTGTTTTCTGTTGCTTCATTTCAATGGAGCAAAATAAAAAGGATGTGACATCAAGAAGCCAGCCACCTCATGGTGAGCAATAAAAGACTCTCCCTTTAAAAAAAAATTTATGTCCTACCAGCCTCTGGATACCCAGTCTTTGCAGATGGCACAAGTGTGAACAGAGCAGAGAGGTGGGAACCTGAGACCACTTGCTCTTACCTGCCTTACGCGATGTGGAGGGAACACTTCCCTCCCCCAGCTCCATGGATTTTGATTATCAAAAACGTTTAGAAGCCAAAAAGCACAAATTTCCACAGCAGCTGGAGCAGTCACATCAGCATCCCTGATATGTGACTGGGATAAAATGATAATCAAATCCTCCAACTGAACTGGTAGCACATGACAGCGATTATGTATTCAATTCTGCTATTATTACCATCTATCTAAGAAATAACCATAGCTCCCGAATGCTGAGCCCACGCTAAGTGCGAGGGCACCCCACAGGGGTAGCGCACGACCCGGCAGGTGGGTGGGCATTCTCATCTTCATCTTCCAGAGGAAAACACCGAGACTCGAAAATGTTGAGCAACGTGGTGGAGGTCACACAGCCAGGAAGAAGCAAAGACAAAATGTGAGCCCTGCTCATACTCCCACCCTCACCTACCATGAAGCCGTCTCCCTACCCTAGAAAGACTCTTACACGGCCCACAGAAAGAGGAGAGACTATCGCGCTTCACTTCAGAGACGACTGCACACACCTCACCTGTCCTGGGCCACGTGGACGTGAACAAACACCACTTTCTAACGGTGGCTCCGTTTTCTCCATGTTTCACACCAGTGCCGCCTTCTAGGTCTTCACTGAGAGCCATCTTAAAACCCAACAATCATTAGGACATCACCCACATCCTTTAGACCTGCACTGAATACAGTGGCCATGAAAGCCCTATTTAAATGAATTAAAATGTCCTTAGTCACAGGAGCCCCGTCTCACGGGCTTAGTCGCGGCAGGCAGTGCAGGCCTGGCGCATTTCCAGGATCGCAGGAAATCCCACTGGACAGCGCCTCTTTCCAACTACTTTACACATACAAACACATCTGCCCCTCACAAAAGCTCTACAGCAGGTCTTATCCCTGTCTCACAGAGACGGAATCTGGGGCACAGCGACCTGATTGAGCTTACACTGCACACACCTTAATGGAAACTTTTTTTGCCTTGAAATTCTTCTCTAGAAATCAAAGAGATAACGGCATCACCCATGAAGCAGTTGGGCTTCACGTGTAGCGCCGAAAGACCAGTGCCAAGTATGTGCAGCCCCGCTCCCTGTGCCGGGCCGTGGCTGGCACAGCAGCGTGCTCCTGTGTCCCCACCTCCTCGACAACCCCCCTCCCCCTGCTGATGCGCACGCATCTCGCCACGAGATTCCTGTCATCATTCAATTAAATTTAGCATGCTGGATTCCCACGAGCCACTCAAAGCACAAACCCCTTTTGAGGGACTTCTGGTTAAGCTCACCGGCTGTGATAAGGGTTCTGGGCAGGGATGGCCACAGAGAACCCAGACGCCTATAGGTATGGAAAGTTCTCAGGCCGTGAGAACAGCGCAGCTTCCGTCTCTCCCCGGCCCTGCTTCCCGCAATCCCTTGCACTGTTCAGATTTTCTCGCCCTGCACCTCTTCCTCTTCCCCTCTGTCCTGTCTGGACCACAAGCAGGTGAAGTTCGGGGAACTGTCTGGAAGCTGGTCTGTGCCCTCCCTGAATGAAAGGTGAGACTGAGAGGAGGTTAAGAAAGAAAGGACAAGTGCAAAGGCAGCGGGGAGCTGCCACCCAGTGGGCCCTCAGGCATTTTCCACCTGACGTCCATGATGACTCACTCTTCCTGAGTTAACAATTAGCAATGACGACATATATTTTGTGTAGAATATTTGCAAAGTGTTTATAATTAATTTTTACCAGCGTTGGGACATTGCAACAAATACTTAAGCTCAATTCATCCTAGCAACCCAGCCAGTGTGTGGTCATCCCATCACAATGGAAGCGGAGGCCTGGTTCTCTCTCGCTCACCCTCAGAAGACAGCAGGGCTCACTCCATCTGGCAGAGAAAAGGTCGTTCATCAAAGCTGGGTAAAGGGGTGGGGTGGGGTGGGGTGGGGTGGGGTGGGGCGGGGTGGGGCCCTCATTAAAAAAAAGAATCACGCACATTTAATATTTTACTCAACCTAAAACATATTCAGTTGATCCTCATTATTTGCAGAGTCTGTGTTTGTGAATTTGCCTACTTGCCAAAATTTATCTGTAAAAACCCAAGTCAACACTCGCGGTGTGTTCTTGGACAGGCAACGCAAGAGAACAGAGTGGGAAGAATCTGAGTTGCCTGACGCACACGTTCCCTGCTGGGGCTGGACAAGGAGATGCTCTGCCCTCTCGTTTCAGCTCCTGCTGTAAACAAGTGCCCTTTTCGCTGTCTCTTTAGTGCTGCCACATTTCTAGCATTTTAGTGCTTCTTCTTGATGAGTCTGCTATTTAAAATGGTCCCCAAGGGCTTCCCTGGTGGTGCAGTGGTTAAGAATCTGCCTGCCAATGCAGGGGACACGGGTTCGATCCCTGGGTTGGAAAGATCCCACGTGCGGTGGAGCAGCTAAGCCCGTGCACCACAACTACTGAGCCTGCGCTCTAGAGCCCGTGAGCCACAACTACTGAAGCCTGCGCGCCTAGAGCCCGTGCTCCACAACAAGAGAAGCCACCACAGTGAGAAACCTGCGCGCACCGCAATGAAGAGTAGCCCCCACTCCCTGCCACTAGAGAAAAGCCCGTGCAGCAACGAAGACCCAACGCAGCCAAAAATATAAAATAAATAAATTTTAAAAATAAAATAAAATGGTCCCCAAGCGTAATGCTGAAGTGCCACCCTGTGTCGCCAAGAGCAAGAAGGTTGTGACGTGCTTTGCAGAGAAAATACGCGTGTTAGATGAGCTCCGTTCAGGCGTGAGCTAGAGTGCTGTCGGCTGTGAATTCAATGTTGATGAGTCAACAGTATATACTACACAGAGTGTCTTTAAACAGAAACACACTTAATAAAACAAGGTTATGTATCAATTAGTTCATGAAAATGTGACCAGAGGCTTGCAGGAAACTAACCCTGTGTTTCCTCCAGGAACAATGGTTCAGCGCCCACTAACTCTCTGTCTGTGGGGACTTCACGGAACGTACCTACTGTGTAACAAGACTCCACTGCACATTCAACTCGCCCATTTTTATGGGGGCCAAGGACTTAGGTTTGAGTCTAGTTCCACTAAGTGAAGATCCGTGTCATCATCACTGTGTGAGTCACACTCCTAACACAGCATCTTTGATTTCTGGTTTTAGATGCTTTCAGGTAGAGCAAGAACTTAGATTTTTGCAAACCAAACTAAAGCAGCATCCTAGGTTTATGATTGTTTCTTCAACTGTTCACAGCTGTCTTGCCCACCCTAAATTTAACAGCAAAACAAACAACCAACAGCAACAACAAAAACCTGTCCAATCTGGATTATGTGCAAGTGTGCCCAACTTAGTTTTCACAGACTATTCTTCAAAAAAAAAAAAAACAACCAATATTTAATAATATTTAATATTAATTAAATATTAATATAATAAATTAGTATTTATTAAATAATTAAATTTAATTATTTAATTAAATAAATTAAATTAAATTAAATTAAATTACAGCAAATAATTACAAGTATTACTGACATAAACAGGTTGGGGAGAAATCATACTGACCCTCGGCAGCCTGCATGTCAACTGCAGAAGGTGAGCAGGTGGGCCTGAGCAGTGGGCTGCACGCTTCTTGAGCTTTTAACCTTGAGCTTCTAACTTTAGAGTTAAAACGTTTTTGAGCATTTATCCCGTATCGGCTTGCTGTTGGTGAAATGTGTGTGTTATGTATCTTTATGTATTTATATGCACACATATATAATGTACCAGGTACATTATAAAATATAAAAATAGAAAATTTTAAAGGATGAGTGAAGAAAAGTCCCATTATTTTGCCTTTGTGCCCCAGAGATCTTTCTGAACACCCTCCTCTTTTGAGACTATGGCATCAGTGCAGAGTCTACTGGCCATGAGTATTCCACGTGAGGGCATCACACGTGGGTTGTACAAGGGAATGGAGTGTCTTGGAAGGTGGCGATAAGGATTACTGCCCTTCTATCGTAGCCATGAATTTTCAGTAACGCTGAGTTTGCACCATTTATCTGGACATATCCATCTCCTCCTTCATTCTCTTATTCACCTTCAAACCCTTCCCGTTTCTGGTATCTGGTACCAAGTTTGCGCTCCATACACACGTGGCAGAATTACCTGGCACCAACCACAGGCTGTGTCCTCCGAGGAAGGCAGGTGTGGAGCAGTGGGGGAATGGGTGCAGGGACCAGGGAGTCCCAGCTGGGAATGGGGAGTCAGAGTGTGTGACCTTGGACAACTTGTTTCATCTGTATTTCAGCTGCCTGCTGTGTAAAATTTCCCAAACGTGCCTGAGATAAGAATCCCGCCATGACCTTGTTAGAAACCAGATTCCTGAGGCCACTGCAGATGGACTGGAATCAGAATAACTGGAGGAGGAACCCAGGAATCTGTATATGTGCAAGCACACCAGGTGCCTCTTACATCAGACAAGTGTGGAAAATAAATTAGTGAGAATCAAGCAAGAGGATCTCCAATTTATGAACAACTAAAGCTACAAGCCTGGGCGAGCTCATTCCCTTCCTGCTATGAGTCTCCATTTTCTTTCTCATCTGTATGTGGGGATCTTTAGAGTTACTGTGAATAACAGGTAACCAAATGCTCGGAGAACTGCAAGGTGCTAGACCAAATTTAACCATTATTTTATAGTGCTAGGTACAAAAAAAAAATCAGGAATAACCCATTTCCTGGCAATTACAGCAAACACAAAAATGCAGAAAAAATGAAA